CAACTTAAAAATGTATATTTCATTATAACTCAAGTAATATTCATATCATACTCCCCAAAACATTAAGTTTCATTAATTGTATTTTTTATTATTTCATTCAACTATATTTTTAAAATTTAAATGCTGTAAAAAAATCATTTAATGCCATCTTAATATAAACTTGCAAAGAGCTATCTTCATAAAAAAAATTTGAAATAAAATTAAAAGATATTTATTTGTTATTATTTTGTATAATATAATCATTAATCATATTATGATTTTTTTTAATTTGTACTTTACATTCAAAAATATAATTAATTATATCAGTTTACCAGAAATAATAATTTAATTATTCAAAATTTAAATTTAAAAACTTAAAATAAAATACTAAAATTTACCAAAATGGTAAATAATATCGAGCAAATAAAAAGTCTATTGAATTAACTTAACAATTGCAAATTCCATTATATATTTAAATTTAACATTAATTCTAACACATTCTTTAAATTAGATTAATTATTCCTTTAAATAAATGATGTGTTCTAGTATTATTTAATTTTAGATTTAGTTTTTATGACTAAATACTAAATAGTTAAACTTTAAATAATTTAAATCGTAATGAACCAATTATAATGATTTTATTTTTTTATATTTACTAAATATAATATATAAATTTACGTATGTATATAATTACATCTGACTATAGATATGTTTTTAATAAATAATTTGCATACTGTTTTTCTGATTGATCAAATTATTTAAATAACTTACTAAAAACTGATGAAAGTTAATATCTTTTATGATTATTAGAATATTTTTACATAGTTTTCACATTTATAAAATACTTATACTTACTAATAATTTATATCTGTTATACTCAAAAAATAAAAATAAAATAATTTATTCTGCAGGATCAATTTCAATCATTTAAACATTAAAATATAAGTTAATACTATTTATAGTATTAGATAATGTATAAGTATTACACAATAAAAAGAATTATAGATTTTAGAGCTTACAAAAAATATCCACTTTTGAATCTACATTAATAATTGTTTACATTAGTTGTTAGATATACTCAATGTGATTTCTTAAGATTTGTCTTAGATCTTTTAATATTTATAGTATACATCATTGTGATATTAGTTAACTATTATAATTTATAAATTTCCTTTTAATTTTAATAAACATAAAATTTGTTTTATGAGTATTTTAAAATAGTATTATAGTTACTAATAATAGAAAAATAAATGAATTTCAGACTACCTTATACTTTGGTATAAGTAGAAAAATTATTGTGCCTTTTAAATCTATAAATGTATTAAATTGTAGTTTTTACAATATATTTAATTTTTTTATTATTATTATTTTTTTTTTATTATTAAAATGATTACAATATGAGTCTCTGTTAAATTTATTTTATTTTTTATTTATTTTTATTCATTTTTGTTAAAAATTGTATTGTTCCTTTATTTTGATATCGTATTACCATTTCAAGATTAATTGTAATTTCTCATATTAGATTGAAAAGATTAAATGTATTTAATTTTAGTTTTATTACTTATTATTGTATTAAATTATTTAAATAAGTTTGTAGAATACTTAGAAAATTGTATAAATAAAATATAATTCAAGGTGATTTTTTTTTAAGACCTGTTGGAGTAAATTTTTGCTTAGTTTTAAGTACAACAAGATACCATTTTGGGGTTGATAAAAACTAATTTTCGTTCTTATAATAAATTACTAAGGAAAATATCACATTTCAAAATATTAAATTAAAAATATTAGTTACAGTTGAATAAAAATTAGTTGTGAAAATAAAATTTTTTTTTATATCAAAATATAGTATTTAAGAGTAATATTATATCTTAATATCAATTTTTAAAATAATGATTGTCTTTAATTAAAATAAATCACCTTGTTTATTATATTTGGCTTATATAATGATATTTTGTGCGTGATTTTAAAAGCAATAAACTCATTTTTGTGTAATTTATGCTCCTTTTAATGTTTTAATTAATTTAATGTTTATTTAAGATAATTTATTTCCATGTATCTTCTTAATGTCAACTAATTTTTAAAATAAGTATTAATAAATAGAAACTATAAATTGTTTTATTTCTTTAAAATGTTTAGATATTATTACCCTGTTTTGGAATTTAATCCTTAATTTGAGTATAAATATTTATATGAAATTCTAATCACCAACTAATATTTAAGTTTAAGTTCAAATTTAATACAGTTTTTCATTACTCAAATCTGAACAAATAGTCTTCTTAAAAAGTTTGATACCCCTTGCATATTACATAATACTGAACTGTCGCTTTCATCAATAGGAATCAACATTCAGGAATAAACATTAGAAGCTAATGATTTTATTATAATAATCAATAGGTATTGGTCAGCAAATTATACTATCGAGATTTATTCGGTAAGCCGTGTCTGGTAGTGAACAATAAGCTTATAAATACTTAATGATCAGTGGCATTGTTGCTTATGGTCAATCAAACTATAGTTTTTTTATTTTTTATTTTAAATATTAACATTTTTTTTTAAATTTAATATTATATTTTGTTTTTAAATACAAAACATGAATTATTTTGTTTAATAATTTCTAATTTTAATATAATATGTTCTATAAATCTTCAAAATAATCGTGAAATTATACTTTGAAAAAATCATTAAATATATTATCCAAATATTACAAAAATTAGGATGATCAAATTTTCTTGTCCAAATTTTTTTCAGTTTGCCACTGACTGTAGTACATATTACATACCTTTATATTATTATTATTTTTTTTTTTATTCAATATTGATTTGCTCATAAGATAAAAATATAGATATTAAATACTATATAAATCTTGATTATTTTAAATCGAATAAAAATGTTAAGTCTTATAAAGGTGCATGTTATTAATAATTATTGAAATTTTTTTTTTCTTTCATCGAAAAAAAACATCTATAGGTATTTTACCAAGTCGTCTTTTATATTCCAATATATAAAGTTTAATCTGGTTATTGATGTAGATGTTCCTAGAATTGTATATTTTTAGTGTGAAATTTTTAACATTTCCAGTGATGTGTTGAGCGGTTTAGGGACGTCGTAGCAATAGATAGGTATTGAAATTTGAAGAAAGTTGGGCCTAAGACTGACCCTTGAGCCCCTTGAGGAACTCCAAATTTAATTCTGTGATATAGAGATAGGTCCGTGTTTATTCTGACTTGGAATATTCTGTCTATTATAAAGGGTGTGATCGTTTCTACTGTTTCTAATATCTAGGTTAAAAGATTAAATGCTTTCAGTTTTATTTCTAGTCCATGGTAGACGATAGGTACCTTATATAAAGCCCGTGTTAGATTAAAGAAAACTACTGTGGTGTATTCATGAATTGACTGTATTTATTTTCAAAACCGTGAGCAATTATTTCCAATTTTGGTTGAATCTGGTGGCATGTAGAGTGCTGTTTTTAAATCGAATTAGTGTTTCAAGATTATGAATAGGTAAAATTTTATCTTTTTCAACAAAATCCTTTCATATTGTTTAGAGAGTGATGTTAATGGATGATTGGTCTATAGCTTGTGGAAGAATTGGCTGACTTTCCAGATTTATGAATGAGGACAATTATTAAATTTTTCCGTGTTGTGGGGAATGTGGCAATACGCATGGATGAGTTAAACAGATAGGTAAGCTTAATATGATAATAGTGCTTTTGATGTTAGTTTTTAAAATTTTGTTAATTATTAAATAACAGCCTGGACTTTTTTTGCTTGCTAATTAATTGTATTTCCTTGGGGGATGTTAGAGTGCAGATACAGGTATTATTCTCTTGGTAACTTCATTCGATAATTCTTCTATGATTTTGTTTTGTTGTGCAATCAGCAGTGTCAGCTTCCGTGGTAAAGCATGATTTGAAATAGTCTACAAAGGCTTCGGACTTTTCTGCATTTATATTTAGCTATTTTGTTTTTAAATGGTAGAACTATACTAGGTTTGTTGCTATTGAATTCTTCAAAAACTTAGCCGTTTGGTTGGGTTTTTTAAAGTAAGTTTGGTAGTTGTATCTCAAGTTATTTATATAGTTCTAATTATATACCGTTATAATTAGCTGGTTTAGTCTCTTTTGAGTTTTGTCAGCTAAATTTCTAGTTCTCTCCCATATTTTTCTCATTTTGTGTTTTCTTTGATTAATTTAACAATTGGGAAGAAGTCGTTGGACTGTTTTGTGTGTGCATTTATGTCTATATGTCTATGAAAATGTGCTTGAGTGATTACTATTTTTATTGTTTCTATTACATGCTCGTTATTACAATTTAAATTGTTTTTTTTTTCTGAAGGCTTCCCATTTTGTGGGGTCGTTAATCAGTTTTGAGATTTTAAGATTGATTTTGACTTGATAATTGATAATCTAAAATTTAAAGTGGTGATAATAGGATCATGATCTGAGTCTGTTCATTAAGGACTTGGTAATGTAGGTCAATACTTAATTGGGAGATTTAATATTAGAGCTAATCAAGAGTATATCTGGATTTAAATATGGAATTTTAAATACTTTCCCTAATTTATCTATTAACCCTTTTAAGTACTAAAACTGAACAACAATAAATTGTCAATTATTAAATAATTACTTTTATTCGTGTTTTAAATTTTAAACTGTAGTATAATAATATGCTATTTAGTATTTTTTACTTTATAAGCAAATTAAGTAGGTATATTTAAAGCCATGTTTAAATTAGAACATTTTTATTTTACTTAACAATAGACAAAGGAAAATGTTTGAACATTACAAGAATTTAACTATTTAAGAATATATAAAATTGAAAGTTATCTACTTATCTACTATATTCAAATTACGTATTATAGCCTATAGGTCTATGTAGAGTACTAACTATAAAATAGTAACTACTGTATAATCGTTATTTCTTATCATCTACATTCTACATTTTGAAGTCACAGATAAGAATAATTTTTACAAACACGTTTTTTTTTAGATTCAAAGAAATACAGGAATAAATAAAATATAATTTATTTATTATTATTTAATATTTTATCCTTATTAAATTTTCAACATCTTTGTTTATTTAATAATTGTAATACTAAGTTAAAACCGATTCATTTCAATAATAGTCTTTAGCGCAAAATTATGATGAAGTGTAATATTTGTGAAGTTAACGAATCTAAGTATAAATGTCCAAAATGCAGAAACGTCAAGTAGTAAGTATCACCTATAAATGTTTATTTAAACATGATCTATGAAATGTTTCTTCAATCTATTTTCTACAGTTCCTTGAGTTTAAGTTTACCCTAAAAAATATCAGATACTTCTTAAGAAAATATTTACCAGATATTAGTAAAACCGTATTTTGTTGAAATACTTTCAAACATTTTAAATTATGAAATTAAATTATGTTACTCATTATTATATACACAATATATTATATGTGTAATGTAGGCAACTAGTCTATGGCTTCCAACTTTTTATATTCCATATTTATAAGAAATAAATAATTCTAATTAAATTAATTTTTTTTTTTTATATAATATACATTTAGTAATTTTTATATAAAATATTTTTGATATTTATAAAACAATTAATTTTCTAATTCTGTTAGACAATATTTATTTTTATTGAAAAATGTAATAGTTCAATAAAATTGATCTAAATTAATCGTACTAGAAATGTATACATTAATTGGTAATGTGTGGCTGAAAAATAATGCTAACTTTATAAAAATTCATAGTATAAATTGGATAACAACAGATCATAATAAACTGCAGATCAAAAATATTAGTGACGATTTTCAAAATTGACTTAATGCTTTTCTTGTTTTATGGTAATTTATTGACTTAAACAAAATTTCAAAATACCTGTGTTATGTATTTGAATTTATTATTATTCATATAATTTATTAATTTTTAATATATATACTACTTAATAAATACCTATAAAAATTTAAAAAAAAAAAAATTTTCCTACCTTAATTTTTTAATTTACATATTTTAATATTGAATCAAGTAAAATTTATATTTTTTTCATATGATTCTCGATATGATTTCATTAAAATACTTATTGCTAGTAAAAATTTAAATATGTTGAACAATTTTAGTTATAAATTATAATTAATATAATGTTTTTTTATAGAATAATAACTATAATAAGTTTAATCATTCAAACAATTTCTTGTTTTTAAAGTTGTTCAGTTGCATGTTACCAAAATCATCTATCAGGTGATTGTACAATAAATAACCAAGATGCAACAGTTGAAATGGTGAAAAATGAACAACTGTATCCTACTGAAGATACAATTCCATCAGAAAAATTAAATTTACTATGTATGTATAACATAACTTGATATTTATCTAATTCTTGTCATGTTTAGGTTATTATTGTTATTAATATTTATGATTTAGCTATTCAAGAGTAATCAAACTTTAATTTGGTGTGCTTAATTAAAATAATTAAAAATTCTTTTAATTTATCACCTTTATTAATAAGGTAATGACCCCAGTAAATTTGGAAAGTCGTTTAAAAAGACCATAACTTAAAACAATTATATATATATATATATATATATATATATATGTATATGTCTACTTTAAATAATATTAATGTGTCTAAAGAGAGCCCCATGTAAAGTATATTTGACATGTGGTCTTGAATGTGTTAAGTTATACTTGCGTAATTTATATCTCTTAAACAGTTAAATTCTTAACTAACTTGACTTTTTTTTTATAATTGAAAACTGTTCTAATTTTTAGATTTTTAACTTATTAAAAAAAAAAAAAGTAAAAAATGTTTAAATTTAATTTGATAATAAATTTAAAATTATTAAAATAAGAAGGTTATAAAATATTTTACAATAATTAACTTATTTTTCTATTAATATGTTATTTTAATTGTTTTATTTTTAGGTTATGATAATCGCCTAAGAGAATTAGTTTCTGATTCTTATTTACAAAAACTATTGGAAAAAATAGACAACAGTACTAATCCCAATGAAGAATTGGAAAAAGCTATGATTGAACCTATATTTGAAGAATTTGCTATAAGGTGTTTGGAAGTTGTTAAGGATGAAAATGCAATTGAAGTTTAATCAATTAATCATTGGAAAATTATTAAAACTTTACAATGTAAATAGATTTAAGAACATATTTTATTGTTCTCTTGATTTATGATTTTTATTACAAAGAAAAATTTGACTGAAAACTGTAATTATATTAATAATATAAAATAATATTTTTAAATGTAATATTTTTTTTTAATCCATGTTTTAATAAGTATTTTCAAACAGTTCAATTACAACTATTTATATAATATTAGCAAAAAAAAAAAAAAAAAAATTAAAAATAATTTTTTCTGTGTGTTCCTTGATGTCTCATAAGTATTTGATAGGGTTTGGTATAAAAGGCCACTTTATAAACTAAAACTTTTTCTCCTTCAATGAGTGTCATTCTTCTTTAGATTTTGTACAATTTAAAAATTATATTTCATTATAGATACACTTTTTAAACCTTTATTTTTATTACATAGTGTTTAAATTTTAAAGCATTATCCCATTCATTGATATTTTCAATTAACAATTTATAATTTTTTTTCTATTTAACCTTATTTTTGAACATATTAACAAACAACTTTTTTTTTTTTTTTTAATTTGTTAGAATATGTTAAAAGTTCTTCTATAAACAATGTGGTATCTTCTTGGTTTTGGTTTAGGTCTCAACAAATTCAAAATCAAAATAGCATTTGACATCTGCATAAATAAGTGGAAGTAAAAACCCGTATTATTCAAGTGACTGAAAAATATTTTTCCATACTTGTAGAAACGAGCAAAAAAACGTTAGGATGATGACTGGATCCAAAAATTTTTCCTCAAGTTTTTTCACTAATTCAAAACAGCCCATATGACAATTATTTATTTCAGCATGATATTTAAAGGTTGACTGATCTTTAAAACATGATACTGGTATTGCTAAATGTTTTGCTTTATAACTATTTCCACCATATAATCCGCAACATGAAAACTAAAAAAAAAGTTGTAACTTATTAAGAATGCAAAATATACTGATTAATATAACTAACAAGTGTCAACTTGTATTTCTCTAATATTGCAAAGTAGGTTTTATTAACTGCTGTTTTAATTTTAAGGAAAGCTACTTAAATTATTAACTACTTATATAAAAAGAATCTATTCTACTTCGTACAATATACCTATTGCTTACATACTTTTACCATTACTTTTGGTACATTTTCGAAAGATTGAGTGCGGTTAACCAAAGTTATTCTGTACTTAAATATATTTGTATTATAAATAATGATTATTTCAAGAATTTCACAAAAATGACAAATAATGCATCAATGTGATAATTTGCATGTTCTTATAATAAAAATAAATATTTTTTTTAAATTTATAATTGTTGAAAAATTATAAAAAAATGTATTACTGTTTCATTGATACATTAATTTGTTGGTTATAATTTTTGTGACAACAGAACAAAAGCCAACCAATTTCTTTTTACATGACACTTTAATGCATGTCCCAATAACTTCTACAATATGTCAACTTATATTTAAACAAGGTTTAAGGTTAATTGAGTTTAAATTGTGGATCATTAAGAATAAGCAGTGTATTAATTTACATTAATTAAAGACTAAGTGATCACATCCAATTTTACTTTATTTTTATAAATAAAAATAATTACTAATATAATATTAATTAAATTATGTATCTTATATAGGTAATGTGATTACGGAATTCGTATTTTTACTATAAGTAGGTAGCCGGTAGCCAGGTAAGTAATAGGTACCTCGTTAATTATATTGAAATCATAATACATCATGTTTAAACGCAATAGAATTTATAAGAAATAAGATCACATTTTTTTTCGTCTAGTGACAAGCTGAATTAAACATACGACGATACTGTATTACTGTAATAGTTATAATAATAAATAATTAGTCAGTGGGTACATAGTCATATTATAGTGCATTGCTCCAGCGCCCACGAATTGTTTCTTATATTTGAGGGGCCCGAATCGGGTTACACATTATATCAGGAAACGTTTTGAACATAAACTGATATACGTAAATCGAACTTCATAATTTTGCGCAAAAATAACTTACTATAAACTAATAAACTATATTACGTAGGTACCATGTAGTGACTAGTACCTATAAGTACATTTTTTGAACGAAGAAAAAATTATTATTAACAAATATAGTCTTAGTGATACATTTAAGTCATATTACAGTTATGTTAGTCTATACATTACTGTATAAGTCTCATGGGTATTTTCAGGTCTTTAAGGTCTTTTTTATATATATATATAATAACAATTAGAATAAAATAACATATTAAAAAAAAAATACGAAAAAAAACTTATAGAGAAAATAATTAAATGCGATTTTACATTGTTTATAATATATCTGTCTTGAAAACATTTTGAAGGGCAAACCAGTAGGTAATAAGAAAACCGAATGAGAACATGATTGACAAATGAAAACAATCATAAATTACAGTAACACAGCCTTATTAGTTATTACAATTTATAAGTAAATTAATTCTATGACGGAAAGAGAACCAAGAAATTAAGTACCTATTCTAGAGATTTCTTCTCAATTCTCATAATCTCATGTTAAAGGTAATTTTGATTCTGATATAACACCAAGGTATCTATTATCTAATAAATAATAATAATATTATTCCGTGACAGCGACGAATAGTAATTTTTGATAAGTTGACGACATAAAGAATATTCAAAATAGATAATACTATATGCATGACAAAATCTATTTTAATAGCCTTTATGACGTATATAATATTATTGACATTGTAAATACTAAATTATTATTATTGTTGATATTTATACTATGTTCGTAGACGATATTTATTAATTATTATTTATGATAATATTTTATCATAATTGTACGTTCTTTATAATCGTGTAATAATGTAATATATATATATTGTCATATTGCTATGTATGTGTGTATAGGTACGATATAAATTATATAATGTGTAAATGAAAATATGAAATTCAGTAATAGTTAATATAGACATAAAGCTATACAGATATGAGATAACAAATAGTAATTACGTTAATAAAAATTAATAGGTTAAACAATTCTGATACTGTATATATATATTATACAGATACAATTTGAATACAGGTATATGTAAGGTATATTTAATCCTTTTTCTATGGGTCTTTGCAATAAAATGTAAGATTTGCTATTTTTGATTTTACTAAATTTATGTAAAAATTTCCTGGGTATTTAAATATACTTGTTTTGGAGCAACGCCATGTAATCACATTTTACCCAGTATGTTTTAGAAAATAAATTTAACCTTCAAACATAATATAAAATTGTATTTTGTAATTATTTGAATTACTAAATTATTTCCATTGTACGTAAAATAACAGTATAATTGGAAATTAAGAAAAAAAACCCAAACAGGCACTTGAGATAAATTAGTGAAACTGTGAGCGTTTTATACAAGTACATAATAGTACAACGGTTAATATTTTAACTTTGGTCAGATTCTAAGGTATAGCCTATTGCCTATACCTATACTATATAACGCGGGTATAGGTGTACACAAGACTGTAAAAGGTATGCGTTTCCATACTCGCGGGCTGGAGGTTGACTCTTTTTTTAGATATCAGACCAAATTCCCAAATAATAATTTTCAGTTTTTAAAAAAATAAAATTTAATAAATAACTTGAAGGTATGATCGATATTTACGATTTACCACAATCCACAGATATGTATAATATGTTTATTTTACATATCTAAAAAATGTTTTTATTTATCAAATTAAAAAAAAAAAAGTTGTAAAACCCAATATTTTATAATAAAAAGGAGTTATAATTTTTGGAAACACATTTTATCAGTTTCATACCCAGCAACTAGAGTGTGTGCAAACCTATATTTTAAGGAAATTTCCTTCAGTAAAATGCCAACAGATATCTTAAATTGAACAAACTAAGATGCCAAGTAAATAAACTACATATTATCATAAAATAATAGCATTTATGAATTATGACCTAAATTATTTATAGGGTGATTTTATTTTTTTTTAATAAAAATAATATAGCTGCTCATTATTTTAAAGACTATTAACATTTTTTTAAATAATTAAATTAAAAACTAGTTAAGTTAATGTTTCTTTGAACAAATATGCTTTAAAAATTTGCAATTATTTTTTTTCTTCTTACAATTTTAATAAATGCAAACATTTTATTAGAAATATTTTTTTCATATTATAATTTAAACCAAGTATTTTTCATATTATAATTTAAACCAAGTATTTGTTAATAAAAACGGGAAATTATATGTCAAAAAGCCAAATGGGAATTTGAAAAACGTGATACAATAATATTGAGTAAAACCTTTAAAATAAATAAACATTAAACATTAAAAGTATTTTAATTTTTTTATTTCATTATCAAATTTTCAAATTTATTTTAAACATAATATCATTATTAATCATCAAATATGCTCTAAAAAATGTTAAAATTAAAAAATGTTCTTAAATCTACAAAATTACTAAGTGGTAACTGGTAAGTATGTAAAAAATATATGCCTATAGTTTAACTATAAGCTTTTAATATTTTTTTCGTAGTATCGTAAAATTAATTTCAAGCTTACTTAGTAATATATCTAATAGTTCAAAAAATCCTGAAATTATAACTGAGTTGAAGCTGTTTGATTATTATTAAATGAACTGATTCTTATATTTTTTTTTTCGATTACGAATTAGTGCATAATCCTTTAAATGTGACATTTATTTTACTTTTTTTCGTTGTACTCTTCATATTTATTTCGTGTTTCTCGAACGAATGATAAAAAAAAAAAATTAAGGACATTTATAATAGATTGAAGAACTATTTTCGGGTCTTGTAAAAGATGGTTTGGTAAATCAAGGCTTGCTATGCAAGTTATATGTGTTTATCTTTAACTGTTTTTATCAATATTTAAAACCATACCAAATTACCAACATTATTATTTATTATATAGAGAATTCCTATGTTATTCGTTACTCTGTTACTCCATAATAATCGATTTTAAATTTATATTTTTAAGCTAGTTACTTACTTTTATGCATTTATGATGTATAAATATATTATTAGTTATTATTATTAATACCTAATAAAATTTATTTATAAATCTATGACAATATCAACGGTTAAACATTTTTATTCAAACTGTTATTTAATCTATTTTACAAATATTAGGTACATAAGTACATTATGTTTTATACATGGATGCAAAAAAAAAATCCCAATAAGTGGTGCCCCCCTTCTTAATCTGGCCCTGGGCAGTAATGATAGACTACCTGTAGGCATTTACAGCGTCATCAAAGTACGAAATTTGAAAAGTTTGGATAACCGCCGGCGGTCACATGGCGGACAACGTGTTTTAATAAAATTTAAAAAATTAATTAGTTTTACTTTCTGGATTAGATTAATATCCTTGGTGAAATCTTAACATTACTATCTACTATAGTCAAGGTGTAAGTGAAACGTAGATTTATTTTAAAAACGATTCTTATATTTTTAATGTTTTTTGTACATCATAATTCATATATTTCATATTATAATGTGCCCTCCTATTCTGTGATTTGAGTAAAAAATCATAGACATACTATTAGGTATACATGAACTGTACCTACGCCGCCCATACGACCATATCTGCTATTATTATTACCATTTGCACAAGAGCTTAAATTGTTAAAATTTAAAAAAAGAACAGCCAATATCCTAGTAGACGAGACCACAAAGGCACAGTCTTTTATACTAGTCATATAACTTATTATAAGACCGTGGGTGAAATGTGTGTTTTATATTTTTCTAAAAATCTATATTTGTTTAACTATTTTCTCTCGGTATTAATGGTATACAATATACAATACAGATAATCTTAAGTCGGTGTACAGGAATACCGCATATAACTGCAACTGAGTAGTAGTACTACTACTTAGTACTTACTACAGTCTACAACTGTGTGTACCGAGTACCG